CCAAGTTATCGAACTTAGCCGCAATCATTCGAAATGACGACTATTTTCAGCTTATCTAAGAAGGTAGTCTCGGGAGGGCCTAGATTCCATAAATGGTACGATGATCCTGTACAAATTCGCAATAGGCAGCAGTACCCGACGGCCGATTTATAAATTACGACCACCTGGACATATGATTTCCAAAATAAAGTTGTCTAGCCTATGCTTCCATGCGAGCGGTTAAATGTCTGAAAAAAATATGAAAACACGGGATAATAGGTGTATTAGCCCGAGCTTCTGGTCTCCTTATTTAAATTTGTATACGTTTCAATTTCAAACTCATCCAAGATTTTAGCCTACGGGCATGGTCTTACAGTCATCTGCCATTATTCTTTTTTTATCACGTGGTGTGCTTGTGATTTTTTTCATAGAATCATGAATTCTTTCCGCTCTGTGGCTTGCAACGATACAGTTTTTTGTATTTTATATTTATACTTTTTTGTCTTGGTCTACCGAGGCTTTGGAAGGATCCTCCAGGGATTTTCCGTTTTGTTATATCTTCTAGGGAAGACACGATTAAAGAAGAATGCTTCCAGGGGACCAAAAAAGACTGAGCAATGCTCATGTAACCTGCTAGTAAGCTATGCAGTTATTGCACTGTTCGCTTAATGGTGCAGCGTAGGAAGTACGACTCTTGCAGCTAATTATATTTTGTTTTTCAGAGTATTAAGTACACTCCTTACTTTTTGAAGGTGTAAACGCGGTCGCTCGCTATGTTAACAAGAAGTGGCGCATGAGAAAGCTTGGGTAGTCATGTTAGGTTTGGCATAAATATACTGCGGCATGTTGTGCAAATATGCACGGCGGATTAAGGCGAAGATTCACGATCCTGGTGTATGGATAAGCCGAGAAGTAGGCGAACAAGAATAAGGTTATGGTTTGTTATGTTGCCGCTTTTATCCCTGTATGGGTTCGGAGGCTCATCTGAATAAAGAGCGGGTTTATAGACGGACAGGAAGTATGCGTCCCGTTTTACATAATGCGTTGTCCTGAAGTGTTAAATGGATCTACTTCAGTCTGCTGGGTCATCCGTCTAGTCTCTGAAACAGTAATGACGGATTTCACTTTGTGTACGCTATTTCTCCCTGACTAGCGGCCTCCGACAGTCCTTAACCGGGCGCCGATTACAGTGTTGAAAGCTAGTAAATAAAACATTGCCATTACTCCCAATAATCTTGATTTTAACCACAAAAACGTAAAATCTACGTACCAACTGTCTAGCTTAGGGCTCACTGTCTCCCTCGCCTTTTTGTAATTCTCTAACTTCATTGCCGTGCAAGGAAGACTACCTAAGTGCGTGGCTGAAACCGGTGCCCTAGCTTTAAACTCCTATTCCGTCTTCCTTTTCTTCCTTTGCAGGCGTCGGGGGCCATATTGACTTCACACGTGGAGCTTCCCTTTCCATTGACGGCCGTGGTCGCCCAATCATTACGATGTGCTCGAAGAACTCTGCTGGGAATTCCGCTATCGTTCCCTTTCTGACAGATGGCAGCGGTGTAGTGACCACGCGTGCCCAC